GTGGTGGCTCTTTTACAAACGGTTACAAATTGGTAGCGGTAATTTTACGCGTCCTCACAATTGTTATCTGTATTACTCTATCAGCAACTCACAACATCTTTTTGGGAGAATCAAATTATGGTTTTATTATTTATTTATTTGTTTATTTATTTCAGACATTTATATCCCTTCCTTCTCACCACCTGGGGAAGGGGAGGGGGAATCAAGGTGGCTCACAACTGGCAATCAATAGTTGCCAAACAAACAGCAATAATAAAATCACAATTAAAACATTAGTTAAAAACAACAAACTATAAACATCCATTTAAAAGTTAAATGTCATTAAATTACAGGCTGAGTATTCCTTATTTGAAATGCTAGGGACTAGAAATCCACTGGGTAACGGAGGAAGACTGGGAGTTTCAGGAAAAAAAAGACTATTTCTGTTTTATGGACTATCCTAAAGCCTTTGACTGTGTGGATTCTAATAAATTGTGGCAAGTTCTTGATGGTTTGGGGATACCAAGCCACCTTGTCTGTCTCCTCAGGAATCTGTATAATGGCAAAGTAGTAACTGTAAGAACAGACTATGGAACAACAAACTGGTTCAAGATTGGGAAAGGAGTACGACAGGACTGTATACCGTCACCCAAACTATTCAACTTGTATGCAGAAGACAACGTGCAACATGTGGGGCTTGATGAATCAAAGGCTGAAGTTAAAATTGCAGGAATAAGCATCAACAATCTTAGATATACAGGTGATACCACTTTGGCCACATCATGAAGAGACAGCAAAGCTTAGAGAAGACAATTATGCTGGGGAAAGTGGAAGGTAAAAGGAAGAGGGGCCGACCAAGGGCAAGATGGATGGATGGCATCCTTGAAGTGTCTGGACTGACCTTGAAGGAGCTGGGGGTGGTGACAGCCGACAGGGAGCTCTGGCGTGGGCTGGTCCATGAGGTCACGGAGAGTCGGAGACGACTGAACAAATGAACACCACCACCACTTTAATGGTTGAAAGTGAGGAGGAGCTGAGGAGCCTTCTAACCAAACTGAAAGAAGAAAGTGAAAAAGCTGGATTGCAGTTAAACATCAAAAAAGCCAAGATTATGGCAACCAAACTGATGGATAACTGGCAAATAGAGGGAGAAAATGTGGAGGCTATGACAGATTTTGTATTTCTAGTCGCAAAGATTACTGCAGGTGGCTAACATGAGGCCAAGCTCGAAAATACAACACAACAAAATAAAATACAAAGCAATGAAAAATTACATCACAATAGGATGCATAAAGTACCAAAATAAAATAAACAGTTGCAAAATAATATAATGATAAATAGAACACAATGGGGCCTGAGAGGCACGGGTCACAATTTCATAGCAGGCTACTTTTTTTTCTGTCCTCTGTCTGCTTCACCAGTGTAGTGTGACTTTTACAAATACCACTAGAGGGCAATCATACAAAGAAAAACTTTTCTAAAATTAGAAAATAAGATTTCCCATGCTGTGCCTTGTGTCTTCTTATACAATTTTCCCATTACTTACAGATAAAGCTTCCGAGCACAATTCAAGTTGCTGGTTTTGACCTACAAAACCCTATACGGTTCCAGTACAGCGTATCTGTCCGAACGCATCTCCCTCTACGTCCCACCCCGGAGTTTGAGATCATCTGGGGAGGCCCTGCTCTCGACCCCACCGCTATCACAAGTGAGGTTGGTGGAGACGAGGAGCAGGGCCTTCTCAGTGGTGGCCCCTCACCTGTGGAACTCACTCCCGGGGGAAATTAGGTCATCAACATCCCTCCTCTCCTTCTGGAGGAAATGAAAAACATGGTTGTGGGACCAGGCCTTCGGGCAATCTGACAACTAGATAAGGACAATCAGATGGCTAGGACTGACAGGACTGACAAAGTGGAATTGGAATTTGGACTATGAGATGGTGAACGCTGAGTATTAATTAGATGGAATCGGTTTAACTGGTTTTATTGGGTTTTTATTGTTGTAATGCAGAAACTGATTGTTAATTGTTTAATTGCCGCTATACTGTTTTTATTCTACTGTTTGTTGATGCCGGCATCGAATTGTGCCTTTGTAAGCCGCCCTGAGTCCCCTCTGGGGTGAGAAGGGCGGGGTAGAAGTAACCAAAATAAAATAAATAAAATAAATAATAATAAAAGCAACTACAAGGCTGATAATCAACATAGGCATTTTTTTGGCTGTTTTCATTATTATATTTCTGCTCACCATAATCTGGTATGTGTTTTTGTGTTAAAATGGCAACAGTTCTGTATCAATTGATCAGTGATGGATTTAGAAGTAGCTGGATTACTCTGAGTTCTATTTTGACATTAGTTTTGTCTATACTTGAGACTCACACAACAGAACGGAGCAATACTCAATCCTCTGCTATTTGTGTACAATTTCCTTAACTGTAATCCACTCTTCTTAAATGTGAAGGTCATTTGCAAAATGGAGTTATTCAGTGGTTCTCAACCTTTCTAATGCTGTGACCCCTTAATACAGTTTCTCATGTTGTGGTGACCCCCAACCATAAAATTATTTTCATTGCTACTTCACAACTGTAATTTTGCTACTGTTATGAAGTGTAATGTAAATATCTGATATGCAGAATGTATTTTCATTCACTGGACCAAATTTGGCACAAATACCCAATACGCCCAAATTTGAATACTGGTGGGATTGGGGAGAGGGATTGATTTTGTCATTTGGGAGTTGTAGTTGCTGGGATTTATAGTTCACCTACAATCAAAGAGCATTCTGAACTCCACCAAATGGAATTGACCAAACTTGGGACACAGAACTCCCATGAACAACAGAAAATACTAGAAGGGATTGATGGGCATTGACCTTGAGTTTTGGAGTTGTAGTTCACCTACATCTAGAGAGTACTGTGGACTCAAACAATGATGGATCTGGATCAAAATTGGCATGAATAGCAATATGTCCAAATGTGAACACTGGTGGAGTTTGGGGAAAATAGACTTTGACATTTGGGAGTTGTAGTTGCTGGGATTTATAGTTCACATACAATCAAAGAGCCTTCTGAACCACCAACGATAGAATTGGCCAGACTTCCCACACAGAAACCCCCATGACCAGAAATTACTGTGTTTTCTGATGGTCTTTTGGGGCCCCTGACACCCCCTCGTGACCCCCCTAGGGGTCCTGACCCCCAGGTTCAGAAACACTGTTACTGTTTTATATATGTGTATCAATGTGCCATTTTAACTTAACTATTTGTTGTGGGAGAATATTCTGAGCAGAACAGAAAAAAGTTGCAGCTTTCAGAATCCCCCAGCCAGTATTCTAGGATTCTAGGAACTTCAGTCTTTAAAGGGGGATTTTTTAAACCTCTGCACTTAATTAGCCCCAGTTATGCATTTTGGGGAACAATTTCCCAAAACCCAGAGATTGCACACCTATCCATAAGAAGCCTATACAGTCTCCCCCATGTCCCCAATTTTTATTAGGAGAAACCCCCGGTTTTGTTAGGATTTTCAATCCCTCTTCTCATGAAGGATGACTTAATTGAAATGTGTTAACCAGTTTACTGATAAACCACAGGAGCCCCTGGTGGTGCAGCGAGTTAAACTGCTGAGCTGCTGAACTTGCTGACTGAAAGGTTGGCAATTTGAATCCAAGGAACAGGGTGAGCTCCCACTGTTAGCCCCAGCTTCTGCCAACCTAGCAGTTCAAAAACATGCAAATCAATAAGTACTGCTTCTGTGGGAAGCCAACAGTGCTCCATGCAGTCATGCTGGCCACATGACCTTGGAGGTGTTTATGGACAATTCTGGTTCTTTGGCTTAGAAATGGAGATGAGTACCACCCCACCCTCTCCAGAGATGAACACAACTAGACTCAATGTCAGGGGAAATGTTTACCTCTCTATATAGTAGTAGTAGTAGTAGTAGTAGTAATAATAATAATAATAATAATAATAATAATAATAATAATAATAATAATCTTTATTTATACCCCGCCACCATCTCCCCGATGGGGACTCAGAGCAGCTTACATGAGGCCAAGCCCAAATAACAATTACAATAAAGAAAAAACCAAAACACAAACCGAAAACGTGAACAATAACAATAACATCATATTAACATAAAACATATGCATACATAACAATGTAAAAATTACAATAAGCACAGGCACAATAACAATGGGAGGGCTACATGTAATGATTAAAAGACAAACTGATTAAAACTAATTAACTGCATACCTATATAACTGTGGGAATATTGTCTGGACTGCAGAATACTGAACTGGAAATAGTGGGTTTATCCTGTGCCTTTCAAGAAGGTGCGGAATAAACCCACTATCTAATTAATTCGCTACAAACCAGGGTTTAATTAGGGACTGTCCAGAACGTTGTCTGAACAGCCTTTCCTTTATTGTGGTAGATACCACAATAAGGGTACTGTCTGGACGGGCCCTTAGTCCATCCCATAAGAACCTTTAAAAAGCACCAATCTCAGCTCTTCTGCCCTGGCATAACTTTTGGCCTTTTTGAATGCCTGGGTGGAAAATGGCAGCAGTGCCCTGCCTCCCCCTGGGCAGCATTGGTTCTTTCTCCATGTCGCAGGAAGACACTTGATGTAACCACGGGTCATATCCAAATCCATAATTTTGGCCTTGGAGCCAAGCTTCAAGTTGACTAAGGTCAACTTATGCATGAGTATATATGATAATAATTTGCCCTTGTGGCCAATTTGCTTACTCTGTTTCAGTTCCAGAGCCTTGAAGCTAGTAAGCCTCCTTTTAGATCTCACTGCAAAATGTGGTTTTTGGACAGAAAGAGAAGCAGTTTCCTCCCCTCTGTATTTTCTTTTCACAGAAGGAGGCAACTTAGATTCTTACATTTCCTGAATATTATGTCACATTATTGCCTAGAGGACACTGTGTCTTAGAATTATGGTACAATTATGGTATGTCTACTTGGAGACGAGGTCTATTGAACTGAATAGGAATTAGTTTGAGGTAGATTGCCACTCAAATGGTGAATTATTTCAGTCTGGAAGCCAACCTAGCATCTTACCCCTCTCGCAATCTGCAGGGACCTCTCCTCCGAGTTTTATAGCAAAGTTGACAGTTGCTTTAAATTAGAGCGGCTGGCTGCTGTTCAAGTCAATGAGTGGGAGTTTATTTAGCTGGAAAATACAGTTCCAAAACTTGGAGATAGAGCTACAAAGGAGCCCGGAGAAGTCCACCATTTGACAGTTCTTGTTTGGGAAAGAATTTTCAGACATTTGTCATAATCTGTATTTCTGTGAATTTGAAAAGGCATGTTGCCATTTCCTGAAGACGTATAAGACTGATTTGGAAAATTTGGGATCCGCTTCTCTGCAACAAGGTAAGAAATTTTGATTTTGTCATGAAACCTTTTGAAAAGGAGTTAATGGAATAAGCAAAAAAGGGGGAGGAATTTGATTAAAACACAGGTTTGTACAAAAGGGTAGCTGCGTTATAAAGCCAGTGCTGTAAATGTGCAGAAAACAATTTATATCTACTGTATATACACACACACATTCCCCATAACATAAGAGTTGTATTTCCTAAACCCTGGGAAATGAACTTTCCTTTCAGTGCAATTGGGGCTTGTAAAAATTCTCAGCTGTACAAACAGAATTACTTTCGTAGACTATTTCTGATAAGTATCTAGAGTTGTCACTTTCCAGTTCTAAATATGGGAAAATTCCCTGAAACATCCTGCAAAACATGTCCGAGAAAAAGATGATCACTACTTCCACACAAACATAATAATTCCCCACAGCAAATCTTTAATTGTTGATTTATAGAGAGGAAACATAAGTTTACATTTGATAAAAAGCAGTATTTTCCTTATAACTTTTACTGGAGTCCTTGTAGGTTTAATCAAGTTTAATAAAAATGTCTGTTTTTATTTATTTAGCTGAACCATGGGCCACCTTTCCGAATATAACCTTCATTAATGATAAGAAAGTCAAGGCTCCACGCTCAAAGCCTGCAAAACTATTTGTCCTCTTTTCTTATGCATGGAATTTTTTATTTATCCAGTTTAGCATTTTATTTTTTTTGACAATTTTAATATTTTAGGTGGCCTATTTACCTCTTGAAGTGGATATACTATTTTCTCAATCCCAGCTACAATTCTGGACTTTGTGATTATTTTCAATGGACAGCAATTACCTCTTCATTACCGTTTAGAAAAGAAAAACGGGATTTCTAAATTAATGCAGAAATACCTCCTGAAATACATGGCTGTATCCCTGTGATTTTTTTATCCTCACTATCCCATAAATGTCAATCATATTTATGACTTTAATCATGAGCAAATACTACTCATAACATTAACAAGGAGAAGTGTTCCTTCAAAATTGGTTGTATATAAAGGCAGTCCACAACTTATGAACAAGATAGGTTCTGTAGGTTTTTTCTTAAGTTTAATTTGTTTGTAAGTCAATACAAGTACATTTTGTAAGTGTAACACTATATATACACACACAGACAAGTACACATGCACACACTGTAGAGCAGCGGTCCACAAACTTTTAAAACAGAGGGCTAGGTCATATACCTCAAACTATTGGAGGGCCAGATTATAATTTGAAAAAGGAAATGAATGAATTCCTATGCACAGTGCACGTATCTTATTTGTTGTGCACTTTAAAACAATACAATAATTGAAATGAAGAACAATTTTAACAAATATAAACTTATTAGTATTTCATTGGGAAGTGTGAGCCTGCTTTTGGCTGATGAGATAGGATTGTTGTTGTTGTTGTGTGCTTTCAAGTCATTTCAGACTTAAGTTGACCCTGAGCAAGGGCCGGGTAAATGACCTTAGAGGGCCGTATTTGGCCCCTGGGCCGTAGTTTGAGGACCCCTGTAGTAGAGTCTTGCTTATCCAATCTCATCAGGATCATCAGGATCTGGAGATGATGTAGTTGAGACAGGATCAGGAAAAGTAGATGTGGATGGCTTTGGATCTATATCAGTTGATCGTGCTATAATGGCATCTTTCTTGAAAAATGAAAAAATATTAACTTGCTTTGCTTTAATATTTAAAGTGTCATTCCTTCAATTTTTTACCAGTTGCATGAGAGTTCCAGTTGATAGAGTTTCAATTAAGCAAGTGTCTACTGTATTTCTTTGTGATAATCAAGTTTTTGCCAGCTATTAATTTTTCCTTAATTAATTACATTCCATTTTTTTTCTTGGAGTTAAAAGTGTTGCACGTTATCCCTACCCTACCCTCATTTTATTCTATGAACAGGCTGGGAAAGTTTGAGAAGCTGTAATTGGTTCATGAGGACCATATGAATACTATGAGGTTTTACTTGTTCTATAATAAACATTGGGCAAAGGATGTTAGTGTGAGCGTAGGGCTTATACTATGGATCCAAGAGAAGGCTGTAATTTATGGAAGATCTAATAAAGGCATGTTTATTTCAGAATAATCTATAACATTTTTACTATTACTCATACTATGAGCATGCATGCACATAGACTCAAGAGAAGAAGAAGAACTTTATTTTTCTACCCCGCCTCCATCTCCCCAAAGGGACTCGGGGTGGCTTACATGGGGCCAAGCCCAAAGCAAAACAGCACATTAAAACAGCATAAAACAGCGTAACAATAATAACAAGCATCAAAAACAACAACAGACTAGTTTTTGGGGGGCGGGGAGGGGGAGAAGACCACTATGCAAGCTGGTTAAAGGATAAGGTGGTTCAATAAGGCGGATAGCAACGTATAATAGCATAGGAAATAGCATGGAACCGGAGCAATTTAACAGGATCGATTCAACTTAACTTAGATATATATATAGTAATGTAATATAGGAATTCAGAATCAGGTCATGATTCAGGTCATGATATAAGTCATTTATCCTAGGGGTCGTCAGTCAAATGCACAATGAAACATCCACATCTTTAATTCCTTACGGAATGTGGATAGGGAGAGTGCCAATCTAATCTCCCTGGGGAGGGAGTTCCAGAGACAAGGGGCCACCACCGAGAATGCCCTTTCTCTTGTCCCCACCAACTGTGCCTGAGACAGGGGTGGGAGCGAGAGAAGAGCATCCCTGGAAGATTTTAAGGACCATGTGGGCTCATAGGGGAGGATGTGGTCTCGAAGATAGGCAGGCTCTCAACTGTTTAGAGCAGGGGTCCCCAAACTTTTTAAGCAGAGGGCCAGGTCACAGTCCCTCAAACTGTTGGAGGGCCAGATTATAATTTGAAAAAAAGTGAATGAATTCTTATGCACACTGCACATATCTTATTTGTAGTTCAAAAAACACTTTAAAACAATACAATAATTAAAATGAAGAACAATTTTAACAAATATAAACTTATTAGTATCACAATGGGAAGTGTGGGCCTGCTTTTGGCTGATGAGATAGGATTGTTGTTGTTGTTGTTGTGTGCTTTCAAGTCCTTTCAGACTTAGGTTGACCTTAAGTGAGGGCCATGTAAATGACCTTGGAGGGCCGTATCCAGCCCCCGGACCATAGTTTGAGGACCCCTGGTTTATAGCTTTATAGGTAATGACCTGCACCTTGAATTGGGACTGGAAACTTATCGGCAACCAGTGGAGCTGTTTAAACAGGGCGGTTGACAACTCCCTGTAACTTGCTTCAGCTAACAATCTGGCCGCTGACCTTTGCACCAGCTGTAGTTTCCGAACTATCTTCAAGGGCAGCCCTACGTAGAGTGCTTTACAGTAGAGAGAGTATTGGCTTTCCTAAGAGAGAGTATTGGATTTCCTAAACTCAATACAAAAATTCCAGGTTGCTCTGCTTAAAGCACAGTTCATGTCTTCTTTCTTATTACTTTTACTCTCTTCTTGCCTGACCATGCCTGTTTGTTTCACGCTCTTTGAGTTTGCTTGGCCACACACATCATCAGTAAAATGCGTACAATGTGTACTGAATGTGAGAACGGAGGAGAAGAATTTGGATTTTTAAGTGTTTGATTTTTGAATGGATTGTGCTCCTAGATTGCTTTGCTGTTTCCTTTTACCCTCCTGTGGTTTCAGTTCAGCTTTCCCATAAGATGTGAACATCATTCCAAACATTCATTGCAGCCCTGTTGCTATGGCTCCCCTTAACATTAAAAAAACTGCTCCGTAAACACAAAATCAATCATAATGCTTTAGGAGTAATGCTCTGGGGGGAAAAAGACCAATTCCAACATGAATTTTTCCCACACTCACAAAAGATATTGGGCAGGGATTAGCTGTCAATATTTCTCAGGATGAATGCAACCTTATTAGGGCCTTTTGCAGCTCAGATTAAGGATGTTTAGAATAAATAATCAGCTGGCTCAAATGACATGTCTGTTGATGCACTGTGTCACAACACGTTTAAATGATCTCCTTCTTTTCATTATTCTTCTTTATTACAAAAAAACCCCTCCTGCTGCGTATGCATAACTATGATGTTGTAGGTTAGCCTTTTTCCTGATAGGCACAAATCATTCTTTTCTCGTTTTCTAATATTTGGAGTTCCTGGCTACAATCTGAACTCTTATGGCTTCATCACAAAGTTCTTGCAATAGTGTTATTCAGCCCTTAAGTCATGGGAACAATTTAGTATTCTCTTTTTTTGCCACAACCTCCACCCTCTGTTTCTAAGACCCTTTCTCTCCCCTTCTTCCTCTCATTCCAACAGCCTACAAGTGAAGAGACAACTAATTCTTTCTGGGAATGAGCCACTCTTGAACATGAGTTGAGGGCTGGAAGCTAGAACAGCTTTTAAATAATCTGCAAATTCCAGATTTGGGGAAGCTAGCTGGGATAAGGTACCTCATCAACTGTTACACTGGCCATCCTACATTTTATCCTTGTAGGCCCAACCTACACAACTATACATATGGAGAACTTAGACCTCATCACAAAGGGGTGTCGGAGACCCCAGCAGTGCAATGGGTTAAACCGTTGTGCCCGCTGAATTGATCAAGTGAAAGGTTGGCGGTTCAGGTCTGGGGAGCAGGATAAGCTCCTGTCTGTCAAGGTCCAGCTTCCCATGTGAGGACATGAAAGAAGCCTCCCACAGGATGGTAAAACATCAAATATCTGGGCATCTCCTGGGCAACGTCCTATCAGACTGCCAGTTCTCTCACACCAGAAGTTTCTCCAAAAAAATCACAAAGGATTAAAGATTTGCCATGCATCATGGCAAATTCATGAAGTCTCAACGGGGTGTGTGGAGAACCCATCACTCCATGCCCCGCATCACCTGACTTATCTGGGACCCCATCCCACAGGGGGAAGCTTCATCACACAGCTTACCCCCGTTGATCCAAAGGCAACACAGGAAGCCTCCCATGTTAGTGTGGTGGCGACATATGCTTCTTACTCTCCCTTTTCGGC